TATCTAAAATATATAGAGAACTTCTACAGCTTACCAATGACATGACAAATAACTCAAGCAAAAACTGGGCAAAGGTCGTGAACGGATGCTACACAGAAGAGGATATTCAAATGGCCAACAGACACAGATGTTCAACGGCATTAGCCATCATAGAAATGTAAATCAAAACCACAACAAGATACCACTTCACTCACATCAGGATGGCTAAGATTAAGAAAGAAAAACAAGTGTTAGAGGGGATGTGGAGAAATTGGAACCCTCATCCATTGCTAGTGGGAATGCAAAATGGTACAGCTGTTGTGGAAAACAGTCTGGTGCTTCCTCAAAAAATGAGAGGTAGAGCCGCCAAATGACCCAGGACTTCCACTCCTAGCTATATACCCTAGGGATCTACACAAATAGGCGTATGTACACCTACGTTCATCACAGCAGTATACACAATCACAAAAAGACGGGAACAACCTAAGTACCTATCAATGGATAAATGAATAAGTAAAATGTGGTACATACATACAGTGGAATAGTATTTAGCGGGAAAGAAAAATGAATTCCCGAAACATCTTACAACATAGATGAACCTGGAGGACATTATGTTGAGCAAAATAGGCCAATCACAAAAAAAACAAATATTGGATGTTCTCACTTTTATGAAATGAATAGGTAAATGTATGGAAACTAATGTTCATTAGTGGTTACCAGGGGTTGGGGGTAGGGGTGTAAGAGGGAGAAGTACTCCTTAGGTAGTAGTAATTTTTTGTTTATAGAAATGGAAAAGGGGCCCCAACTATGAGTGAAGTTTGCACAGCATGACCAGTGTAACTGATGTCAATAAACTGTACACCGATAAAAGGGATAAATGGGCAAATGCTAAGTAGTGTATGGTTTTGCAATAACAACCAGCAAAAAAGGGTGGGGAGGGCTACAGATGCTGATACTAATTAGACATAACCAATCACCTCATGGGATTAGTTCTTTTGATTTGGGAGCTTAGGGCCATGGTCTTGTGGGACAATCCAGTCAATTGGCACAATATAGTTCTTAAGATTTATGTTCTACCTCCCAGTATGGTGAGTAGCGTCTGGGATCTAAAAGCTTACGAGCAGCCATGTAAGATACAACTATTGGTCTTTATTCACCTGCAATAAAAGAGAAAGAAGGAAACCCAAGAATCTGAGAAGAAACTGGACTACAGCACTGTCTACATGAACCACCGTCTCCTCAGTCTTGAGACCAGAAGAACCAGATGGTGCCCGGCTACCACTACTGAACTTTCTGATCAGGGACATAATAGAGAAATTCTGATAAAAAGGGAGAAAAATGTGGAATAGAACTTCAAATTCTTAAAGAATCCAGACTTACCAGACCTATTGAGTCTGGTGGAGTCCCTGAGACTATGGCCCTGAGTTGCTTGTCAAACCTTGAATTGAAACTACCCGCTGAAGTTACCTTTAAACTAAGTAACAGTTTACCCCAAAAAGTAAAGATTGTCACCCTTGAGTACTGCATTACTTAAAAATATATATATATATCTCTATATAAGACTAAAGGGTCAACAGCTATTTTAAAGCACAGATGAGAAGGTTAGGGGCAGGGAGATTACAAGTAAACGGAAGTGAAACAACTAGAACAGAAATAACAAGAATGTTTGCACAATGTGAAGAATGTAACCAATATCACTGATCATCATGCCTAGAAACTGTGGACTGGGCATGGGTTTTGCTATGTACGTTTTCACCAAAAATAAAATTAAGAGAAAAAAAAAAGTTAATCTTCACACAGAGAAAAGAGTGGGCCTGACAGATGAGTTCTACCAAACGGTCAAGCAACAAATCATTCCCATCTTACATAAACTCTTTTGGAAAACAGAAAAAGAGAGGATACTTTCTAATTCACTTTACATGACAAACATGGCAAAACTAGACAACATCAGTATGAAAGAGGAAAATTACAGGCAAATCTCACTCATGAACGTAGATGTAAAACTATCGTATAAAAAAGTGATGTCATAACCATGTTGATTTTATCTCAAGAATGTAATGTTGGTTTAATATTAATCAATGTAACTCACCATTTCAACAGATAAAAAGGTATGGAAGCATATTATCAAAACAATATAGAAATTAAAAGTTTGTAATATTTAACTTCATTAATCTGATAAAAGGAGTCTCTAAAAAAAAAACCTACAGTATGAAGAGTTTTAGTAACGGAACGTACGGTAAACATTCAGCGATGAAATGTTGAAAACTTTCCCTTTAAAGAGGAGCAAGACCAGGATACCCTCTATATCCACTCCTGTCCAACAATCTACAGTCCTAGCCAGCATATTAAATAAAAAAGAGGAATAAAAGTTGTAAGAATTGAAAAAGAAACAAATGTGTCATCACTTGCAGATGCTATATTGTCAGTGAAGGAAACCAAACAGACTCTACAGATAAATCAGTAAAATTAATTACAGTTTAGCAACTTTGCTAGATACAAAATAAATTTTAAAAGTCAGTAACATGTTATTGTATCAGCAATTAGAGTAAAACAAGTAAAGGCTGGACTCCGTGTAAGGCCGAAACCTGGCAGAGAAGGAAAACTCAAATATTCTCCACTAACAGACAGCGATAGAAAAGTGGTAAGACCGCACCCTGTCAAAGGTGGAAAACTTGCAAGACCGGGAAAAACAAGGCAGTCCCATCAAGTTCTGGCTCTCAAAGCTTTCACTGCATTACCTGGGAGATGTAATTGTAAGAGAGATGCCATTTATAACAGCAACAAAATGATAAAGTACCTAGGACTCAATCTCAAAAAGACATTAAAGAAGACCAAAATAAATGGGAAGATATACCATATTCTTAGATAAGAAGACTCAAAGTTGTAAAGATGTCAATTCTCCACAAATCGATCTACAGATTCAATGCAATTCCAAACAAAAATCTCAAAATGGTTTTTTGTAGAACTTGACAAGTTGATGCTAAAATTCATGGGGAAAAACAAAGGGCCAAGAATAGCCAAGAGACTCTTGAAGAAGGAATTCACCCTTTCCAATCACAGGACTTCTTACAATCTACAGCAATCAAGCCAACGTGCTATGGGCGGAGGGACAGATAATGAGACCAAGGGACAGAACGGCGATCCCAGAAATGGACCCTCAGGTATATGGGAAGCATACTTATGACCCACCACCATCTGTCAGTTTGTCATATTGTGGTGGCTTGCCTGTTCCCGTGATGCTAGAAGCTACGCCACCAGTATTTCAACTACCAGCAGGGTTACCCATGGTGAATAGGTTTCAGTGGAGCTTCCAAACTAAGACAGACTAGGAAGAAAGGCCTGGTGATCTTCTGAAAATCAGACAATGAAAACCCTATGGATCACAACAGAATATTATTCGCTATAATGCTGGAAGATGAGCCCCTAGGTGGCAAGGCACTACACAACAGCCCCAACAATGGACTTGAGCATCCCGACAATCATGGAGCACACCCAGGGACTGGGCAATGTTTCCTTTTGTTATACGTAACATCACAATGAATCGAAGCCAATTCAACAGCAACTCACAACGACAACAACCTATTTATGACAGAGCTGGCACTGCAGGTTAGCAAGAAAAGGATGGACTTCTCAATAAACTACAGGGAAACTTGGTTATTCATTTGGGAGGAAATAAAATTGGATCCCTGCAAGAGAGAAGAATGCATGGAAACAGGGCAGTGAGTGTGATGAGAATTGTTGGTGGATGTGGGGTGAAGAGAAGGAAGTGAGGGTGGTGCTGGCAACACAGAAGCTGTTGGGGTGACCTTCAGAAGACCAGGTCCAGCAGTATGATGAGGATAGAAGCTGGACCGGCATGTGACAGAAACTGGAAGTGACAAAGGAAATAGGGAGCGCAGCAACTCTTGAGAAACGCTGCTTTGAAGGGGAGCAGAGAAGTGGGTGGGGAAGTGCGGTCAAGAGAGAATTTCCTTTTGAAAGACAGCAGAGTCCTGACAGTGTGCAGGCGCTGATGGAAGGATCCAGTAGCCATACAGCGGTGAGGGGTGATGGATGAAGGAGCAAAGGGTTTCCGAGGTGAGGAAGATGGAATGGGGAGCAGAGGTGAGGAGTCCCCGTGAGCAGAAACTGTCCTGCCACTGTCACAGAAGGGGAGGCAGAAAGACAAGCACAAGTGCAGACCAGCTGGGAGGGGTCTCTTTTCCATGAAGTGCAAGGCCAGGTCCTCAGCTGAGAGCAATAGAGCAGGTAGGTTTGAGGAGAGAGTGGTAGTAGAATTGCTGGGCCACACAAAGTGCTCCTTTGAGGTCTGTGGCTGTGAATTTACAGGGAAAACACCGCCCCAGGGTGCGATTTCCCTCCAGCCATGCCCAGCGTTTCCAGTGTCAGCACACAGAAGGTGGAGAGCTGGGCTTGGCTAGCACTGCGGCTGCGCCGGGTGAGAAGAGCAGAGAGAGAAGAGCAGGGAAACCGAGAGTGTTTGCAGGGACAAGATTAAAATGATGGATTCCAACCCGGACAAGAAGACAAGACGAGCGATAAAGGAGAGCGCCAAACAGTGAGTTCAACAGATTAGATATTTCGACGAGGCCAACGCGGGCTGTGGAGTAAGGGAGTTGGAAGGGTTGAAGGTGGAGGTCAGAGGGTGGGATGTTTGGATTCAGAGGCGAGCAGTTAGTTACTGAGCAAGACAAGCTCTGGGGTGTCCACAGGGTGGTGGCTGAACTAAGGGGGAGGAAAAGGTTGCCGGGAGTGAGGATGTTTAGGGATTGAGAGGCCGGGGGGTATACCAAGTCATCCACATGGATCTAGAAGCCCAGGGGAAGGAGACAGGAGAAGAAGAGGAAGACAGTGGGTGAGAAGGGAAGGTTTAACGAACGAGCCGGATCAGCAGGAAGGTGGGTAGCGACAGGGGGAGAGTAGGAGGACCAAGGTCTCAGCTTTAATCCCCTCTCTCCCCTCGTCTCCCTTTTTAGCACCTGGGCTCAGGCCCCACCCCAGGGTGGCCGCACTCATGTCACCTGGGTAGTTGCGGCAGCCCCCGGCAGTGCTCCCCCGCCGCCAGGTGCCCTCGTAGAGCATGGTGTTCCACTTGCGGATGGAACGGCTCTTAAGCGCGTCGGGCGTCAGGTTGCAGATCTCCAGGCGGGTAAACTCGCGCCTGAAGTCTTGGAATGACATCCTGGGGATCGGGGTGTACAGGTAAGCCATGGTCCCCGGGGCAGGGCACAAAGGGATGTGGCACAGTTGAGAGGCAAGGCGCTGAGCAGGGCGAGGCTGGGGGGGTGCTCACCAGAACTCTCCATCCTCCATCTTGACCCGGAGCTGCTCCCGTTCATAAGGGTCCACATTGTTCCACTCCGAGGAGCTGCATGGAGAAGGGCGTTGTCAGGGGCTGCTGAGCGCTGCCTGGCCTGGCTTCTGTGGCCTGCCTTCCCCCAGCCCAGGTCAGGAGGCCTCCTGAAAGTCAAGCCCTGAGGTCCCACTTCTGGGGGTCCTTTATTAGGGCAGGGTCAGATGCCCTGTCGATGCCCATAGTCTGGGCATAAACCAAAACCTATTGCCGTCAAGCTGATTCTGACTCATAGCAACCCTATAGGACAGAGTAGAACTGCCCCATAGGGTTTCTAAAGAGCGGCTGGTGGATTTGAACTGCCAACCATTTCATTATCAGCCAAGTTCTTAACCACTATGGCACCGGGGCTCCATAGTCTGGGGATAGGGGCCCTTTATCAGGACAATGCCTACCCTGTTCACCCCTAGACCCAATAACATGAAGATGGACCCCTCTGCTCAATCCTGAGCCCATCCGAGCTGGCACGGCCCTGGGCAAAAATGCCACGGGCACCTAACAGCCTCCCCAGTGCCCCAGCCTCACCCGTCACTCCAGGCTCCCGTCCACTCCACCTCGCCCCAGGGGTTCCGCATCCGGATCAGGTTCACCATCTGGCCCCGGGAGTTTACCTGGTCCCAGAGCACCCATCAGTGCCTGCCCTACATGCCCCACAATACCCTCTCCCGACACGCCTCCCAGACCACCTCGTCTATGCCAGCCCTGTGGGCGCCCAGCACCACATCACAGGAAGCCTGCCCTCCAGGAATTACAGTGTGACGAGGGAGGCAGCCCTGGACAAGAAAGACAGTAAATCAGGGCAAAGTGAGTATCTAGAGAAGACAGGTCAGGTGCTGTAGGTCAGGGGAGGACCAGCCCCTCCCAGGGCCCAGGTCAGACACCAGGGAGGCGCCGGAAGGAACCCTACCCAAGCGGTACCTGCTTGGCCCCGGTCACTGAGTAGGCATGGCCCTTCACCAGCTTCTTAAAGGTGACGGCCTCCATGTCCAGAACACTGGAGATCTACAGAAAGACAGTGTGCTGTGGTCGCGGCAGCTTCAGGGGCCGGGTTAGCGCCCCCAGTCAGGAGATGAGCCCCTAATACTCATGGTTCTCGGACATTTTCCCTTGCAGAGGCAACAGTTGTTGGGAGCAGCAGGCAGGGAACCTGATGTAGTCTAGTCCATCACCCCCACTGCAGGGGGAGCCCGGGTACCCCACTGACAGCTACTGCCTAGGACTGGTCAGAATCTGTGGAGCACGTGTACGCCCACACACAGTCAAGCACAGCCCCGGAACCACAGGGCCACAGAGGGCCTGCTGGGATGGACACGGAATGGGGAAGAGGGGTGGGGCAGGGCTGGAGTTGAGGGTGGCAGTGATGTTGAGGGTGGAGTCTGAGGCCAAAGACGAGGGAGGTCTGGAGATGAGCTGTGGGAACTGAAGAGCAGTGAAGGGTGGGAATGGAGTGAGGTTGGGGATGAGGCTAGGGATGAGGTTGGGAGTGAGGGTGGGGATGAGGCAAGGTGTGAGGTAGGGAGTGAGGTAGGGAGTGAGGCACGGTGTGAGGTAGGGAGTGAGGTAGAGGATGAAGTTGGGAGTGAGGCAGGGAGTGAGGTTGGGGATGAAGCTGGGAGTGAGGCAGGGAGTGAGGCAGGGTGTAAGGTAGGGAGTGAGGTGGGGGATGAGGCAGGGTGTGAGGCAGGGAGAGAGGCAGGGGATGAGGTTGGGAGTGAGGCGGGGAATGAGGTTGGGAATGAGGTTGGGGATGAGGTTGGGAATGAGGTTGGGAATGAGGCGGGGAGTGAGGCAGGGAATGAGGTTGAGAGTGAGGCAGGGAATGAGGTTGGGAGTGAGGCAGGGAATGAGGTTGAGGATAAGGCAGAGAGTGAAGCGGGGAATGAAGCTGGGGATGAGGTTGGGAATGAGGCGGGGAGTGAGGTAGGGAACAGCTGGGAGCTGAGACCGGGGACAAGAGAGATGCAGTTCAAGGCTGGGCAGTGCATGGGCACGGAGTTAGATGTCAGGAACAGGGTGGGAACAGAACAGAGCGGTAGGGTGGGAGAACAAGTCTGGGTAAGAACTGCCATTTGAGGTTTTGGGAAAGGGGGGAGGCGGAGGCAGGAATGAGGCTGGGTGGGGAGGTGGAGGACGGGCGTGAAGTGATGGTAGGTGTCAGTGTGGATCCAGACATGGTGCTGAGATGAAGGATGGGGGTCTGGAGACTTGTCTGGGGTAAGGATGAGGCCAGGGGTGGGCTGAGGAGAGGGAACCACTGGATGATGGGACTCAATCACGGTCAGGGTGTGAGGTCGGAGTGCAAGGGCGGGGCTGGGCACACTCACGTCAATGGAGCAGCCCAGCAGGGAACCTCGCTCCAGAGCCTTGATGATGATGCTGTAGAGGTCGCTGGGTGCCTTTCGCAGCTCGTACCATTCGGTGACCCCACCTGTGAAGTCCTCAAAGCCCTCCGAGGTGCTGCCCCCCGAAAGAGCCTCATAGCTGCCGTTCACCCTGTGGGCAGCCCCAGGTGAGTACTCCAGGCACTGAGCAGCTACATGCTAAGGGGGCTGGGAGCCATTGCCCCCAGGGTGGGTGGTGGGAGCTGTCCCTGGAGTCCCTACTCACTTGGCATAGGCCTTCTCCAGGAGGGCGCTCCAGAACTCGTTGCCTTGGGCAGAGTGCACGAACACCAGCTGCCCGTCCTTCGTGGGCAGCAGGTCATCCACCACCACATCCACCCATTCCCCAAACTGCCACAGCTGTAGAGAAGGGGCACAGTGAGTACCTGCTTTGGGAGCCCCAGGCGTTGATCACACACAGCCCATTGATCCCCCAGCTTGAGCCTCAGCTCTGCCATTTACTAGATACATGATCCTGAGCAAGCTAACCTTCCTGAGCCTCAGTTTCCCCATCAGTAAAAGGGGTGGGAAGTGCCTCCCTCACAGGAAGATTAAACAAGATCAGGCAGGTAAAGCCTTTAACACAGCACTGTTGATATTTTTTAAATAGGCCAAGGTATTTCCTGGGGAGGACCTCTGGGGGCACAGTGGTTAAAGTGCTTGGCTGCTAACAGAAAGGCTGGAGGTTCAAACCCACCAGCCACTCCGGGGGAGAAAAGACCTGGTGATCTACTCGCATGAAGATTACAGTCTTGGAAACTCTATGGTGTACTCCTACTTTGTCCTATGGGGTTGCTATGAGCTGGAATCTACCAGAAGGCAAAGGGTAAAGGTATCTCCTAGGTAAGAAGATTGGAAAGTCTTTGGCCCTGCCCCTACAGCTCCCTTCCCCCTCTAGACCTGGGTGTGGGGCATGGGGGGTAATATAAACATAAACTGGGTGGAAAATGAACATATAGCACCCAGATCCTTTAACCACAAGATGGGCACGTCTGGTGCCCTGCAATCAAGGGCTTTACTTCAGACATGCCCAGAGAGGCAGGTGTGCCAGGGTGGGAGAAGGGACTATGATCCCCAGCCCAGGGCACCTGGGACCGGAAACCTGCCACATGCTCTCTAAGGGGCCTGGGGCCAACACTGGGGGAAGGGGAGGAGGCGGGACTAGGGGGTGTAAGGGGGGAGGGAAGTTGAACTGGCCATTAGGATGTCTAGGAGCAGCGGCGGATTGGAGGAGTGAGGGAGGAAGGAGGGGGAAGCGGCGGCCAGGCTACGCCCCAGCGGACCGCGCTGGGGCAGGTGCTGGATCAGGCCAAAGGGATCTGTACTGTGGGTCCCCGCAGGCCTCATCCTCCTCCGGGTTCCTCCTCCGGCCCCACCCCTCCAAGGTGGGTGAGGATGGAATGGGAATAAGGGGCTGCTGGACTAGGCGGAAGGAGAGGGCACCTAGGACCCCCCGGGGGCAGGGCTGGAGCCACCAGCGTCAGAGGATCTCGCCCAGGGTTGCTGCGGTGTGTCTGTCCCAATACCAGCTCATTGAGATTTAGTGTGGCTAGCAAAATGGGCCTGTGCGCGAAGTCAGGAAAAGCTGGCTTAAAGGGACTTAATGAGAATCTTTCTTTTCTGCAGGGCTCTGTCAGGGGCTGCAGTTTGCCATCTCCCAGAAGGTGCTCCGGGTGGGATGTGGGGGTGGGGTGGGGTGAGGCTGCAGGTGGGGATGGCACTGGTCTGTTCTCCCCAGAGGAACACTCCTTTTTCAGATGGAGAAACTGTAGCCCAGGGAAGGAGAAGGATTTGTCCTCCAGAATATAACAGACAGCTCTTTCTAATCCTCCCAGCACTCTCTCCCAGATACCCATAATTACACAGGAAGACTGCCAGCTGAAATACCTGCCCAACCGTTTCACACATGACCGACCCGAGATGGCATCGAGAGGTCAAATACCTTCTAGAGGGAGGCTGGCCCACGCAGCCCTCGGCCACCCTGACTTTACACTGCTGTTGATTACCTCTCCTTACCTCCCCTGGCGACTGTCCCCTCCCCAGGGGTGCAGGGCTCCTCACCTGGAAGTGGAAGATGCCTGCATAGCCATTCTGGAAGCTCTGGCCATGTGGGACCACTCGATGCAGGAGGGTGTCATTGAGGGTGAGGGAGGCGATAGCGGCCAGCAGCCAACAGTCCCCTAGGATGGGAGGGAGGCCACGTCAAATCTGCTCTACCAATCGGTCCCTGGAGGTGCACATGGGTGCCCATGCTGAGGAGAACCTGGAGTTTCATTGGTGGGGTGTCCCCAACTCCTCTGAATTCACAGAAGAGACCCAGGAATCTGGGCAAACCAGCCCAGGGCTGGTAGACAGAACCTGCCTGGGCTTGCAGGAGGGAGGGGTTGGGTCAGAGCCGGAAGGAATGGGAATGGGGAACTACTATTGGAAAAAGACCCAGAAACCCCAGGGCCTACCCAGCGCTCCCTGGCAGATGTCTGTGCGCGTTGCTCCGTCCACGATGAACTGGGGGTTTGAGAGTATCTCCTGCAGGAGAACCAGAGACCTGTCCTTGGACCAGTCCCTCCCGGAAACTGGCACCCAGCCACCCCAGACCTCACTCCCCACCGGGGACCTGCAGTCCCGTCCCATCCCTCACCCAGGATCTGGGGTCAGCCAAGCCCCACCCAGAGTGGCCCTTCTCACCATGGGCCGTTTCCACTTGATGCCATAGGTCTTGGAGGAGTTGGGGCCCAGCTCCTTGTAGCCCAGGCTGTGGGCCACCGGGGGGAAGGCATCATCTCGGAAGAGGGTCCCGCTCTGCAGGCACTGCACCCGCAGCTGCTCATAATCCTGGCCCAAGTACTTGATGGCGTTCTCATGGCGTCCCAGGCCCAGCTCCTTAGCCCGATGCTTCTGCACCTGGGCTGACACCCCGGTGCAGTACACCGCGGTGATGAACTCCTCCGCCATCCTGGGGGACCAACAGCCTGCTCAGAACCGGATTAGAACCGGGGCTCCTGCCTGCTAGCGCTGCTTTCCTGCCCCTGCCCACCCTTCCTCCCCAACCTGGGATTCCCTGAAGCCGGTGATAACACAGGAAACCCCAGGGAAGGCCTCTTTGACTCTGTAAACCCCCCTCAAAGCAGCCACACTCGTAGGATACGCCCTCATACGACAGGCACCCAGCATTTTGCTGGGGAAAGCAGTGGACCCTTTTCCCTGGAGTGCGGGCTGGGAACTCCAGGCAGTCTGGGTCTCTGGGTCCCCCTCCCCAGGCCGCTAAGCCAGGCTGGGGCCCAGTGCCTTCCCCGGCAGCCCTCCCCCAGCCCAGCCCCTGGGGACTGAGGAAAGGCTGGCGCCGGCGCCTGAGCCTCACCCTTCCCCAGCCGCCGCCCGTGGCCCAGGCACTCGGAGGGCCCCAGGAAGGGCCGAGCAGGGGCAGCCCCTCAGCCCAGGGCGCAGTGGCCGGGGGCAGGGAATCCCGGCTGGGCCGCTCAGCTCCTTACCTGGGGAGAGGGTGTTTGGGGGGTCCCTGCGGTCCCTGCAGCTGGCTTGGCGATGGCAGCTCAGGGCAGGGCCCAACCAGGAAAAGCGCTCCTCCCCGCCCTCCTCTCTCGCCCCCCC